ATCATATGATCATCACCTGATTTCAATTAAATATTATTGTAAAAAAATTAGTAACGTGATCACTAGTAAAAATGATCGACGTTCACCCTACTCTTAAAGCTCCTTTCGAACCAAGCCATGATATACATTATTCCAAGGAAAGTCTCCAAATTTCTAGGGAGTGTCGTTAGAAAAACCTATTTGTTGTTCTCCTTCTATTCTATTCTTTTGCTTTATAAGTTACTTCGTCGACAAAAAGGCCCCAACTTCTCATAAGCACCTTTTTTCCAGAATTTTAAAAGCAAGGGTGCCAACTTTTGCTAGTTATCTTGTTCCTAACGCTTCTGGTTTGCATGCCGAATATGCAAAGGAGTCTCCAAAATCAAAAAGTTTACTTTTACAAAAACCGCCCCATAAGCTGTCTTTTCCTCTCCAACAAATTTTGGTTTTTTATTTAGTAGGAAATTTTGGTCCAGGTGATCATCAGAAAGAGTTTTGTAGTTTGATTGTTAGCAACTGCTTTAATACCTTTTTTTCTCTAGCTTTGTTGTCTTGGATTTTTCATTTTTGCTAGTGCTTTATAGTGTCTTCACTGTCACTTGGAGTTGTTATACAATAATGCTTTTGTTCATATCATCGGGAAAATTAAATAAGTGCAAATTTGCAAAAATCTGTATTTTTGCAGATTTTTGAAGAATTGTTATAAAAAATCTGCAAAATTTTTTAAAATTTGTAGCTTTGTACAGAATTGCAATTAATTTCTGCATTTATAGTTAGGGTTGGCAAATTACTATAATTTTACGTAATTTTAAGTAATTTTACAAAAATCAATTGTCATGTAATTTGTAATATAATTAATGCCAGCCAAAATTTCATATCTAATGCTGATATATGAATGCCATTAAGAGAAAATCTGCTATCGGTTTTTAGTTATATTTTGTATCAGATACAATCCCTAATCAATTAAATATACTATATTCATTACAAAATATAATTAAAGCCCGATAGCAGATTTTCTTTTTTATAGTCCAATAAAATAAAAATCATTATTATAATGAATAAAAGTTTATTAAATTATTTACATCATTTGGTTATATCATTTGTATCACTTATATCATTTGTATCATTTATATCATTTGTATCACTTATATCATTTGTATCACTTATACTATTTGTATCACTTATACTATATAAAAGAAAAATAAAACGTGTAAAATTTTATAACAGAATTAAAATGGCCTGAAATAAAATTGAAGATATACGGGATGAATATATTATAAGAATCAATGAAAAGAGTAAAGAACATTACAAATGCAAAGCATGCAAGAAGAAATGGGCAAAAATATAACTCGGTTGCAAAAGCATATTAATACATGTACTTTACGCAATTTGAATAAAACTTCCAATGCTAATAAAAGACAAAAAGTATTAAACCTTACCTCGCAAAAACAAATTGAATTGGAATCTTTGCTTGCACGTGCCTTTTACACATCAGGGGTTTCGTTTAATGTAATTGAAAATATAAATTTTCAAGCTTTTTTTAAAAAGGCTTGTCCTTCTTTTAATATTCCATCACATCGTACTTTTTCCAATTCACTTCTTGATAAAGAATACACGAATCTACAAGTAGTTATCCAAAATACCCTTGATGAAACACCTTATCATTGTCTAGTTAGTGATGGGTGGTCGAATATTAACAAGTCACCAATAATTAATTACATGATTACTACACCTGATCTGATTTTTTATAAATCGGTTTGTACTAAAGAAGAACATCACACCACGGAAAATATAGCTAAAGGGATTGAAAATATAATGCTCAAAATTAATATTGATAAGTTTGTCTGTGTAATCACAGATAATGCAAATAATATGAAAGCTGCATGGAATATTTTAAAAAATAAATATTCAAACAAGATCTTTCTTAGATGTTGGGCTTATGGAATAAACCTTTGGATTAAGAATATTCTTAAAAATGGATGGGCTCTACGAATTTTAAAAAAAAACCAAAGAATTAGTTTTGTATTTCTGTAATTATCAAATTCTTATGGCAACTCTTCGTCAGTTACAAAAAAAAACTTACAGTTTTGAAATTGCTCTTGTTTTAACCGTCGATACAAGGTGGACATCAACATTTGAGTGTTTTGATTATGTTTTACAAACACAAGCTGCAATTTATACCATATTAACCGAAGATAGTATTGAATTAGATGAAAATATCAAAGCAATTATCATAGATTATATATTTTGGGCGGATCTAAAAAGACTTTATGATTTTTTAGAACTATTCATTAATTTTATATATCAATTAGAGAGTGATGAACCATATCTCTTTTTTGCATATAAAATATTGCAAGATTTAAAAAAAAAAAATTATAAATAACATACAAATTCCAGTAGAACTTCGCGATAGTACTTTACAAACAGCTAGAAACCAATGTGTTAATTTTCTATACAATCCGGCAATTATAGTTGTATATATACTTGATCCTAGGTATCGTGGTAAAGATCTTGATCTCCAAATAAGAGCTGATATAATAAATAATGAAGTAATTCGAATTGCAGGTGTTGATAATGAAAGTCAAGTATAAGTTAGCAGAATATATTGGAAAATCAGGTGGTTTTGCAAGAAAGTATTTATGGGAAAATCTCATTTCAAAACCATGAAATTTATTAAGTATACAATATCTTATTTTAAGTCAAGTTGTACACAAAGTCTTATCAATCTCTGCCACTTCTGCAGCTAGTGAGTGTAACTGGTCTGCTTATGGATTTATCCATTCGAAGCTGCGTAATAGAATGCTTACTTAAAAAGCAGATAAGCTTGTCTATATTTATTGGAATATACGAATTCTCTATTAGTTAGGAAGATCTGTATTAATTAACAATTCGCAAGAAATATCTGTTAATTTAGATAATCAAGAACTTGATATTAATACAGATAATGACAAAAATGAAGAGCTTAATGAAGACTTTACTGATTTTTCTAATTGGCTTCTTAATATATTCAACAATCGTGGTATGAATTCGATAATTATTCTGAGTGAAAATCTATATACTTTTTTTTTTTTTTTCTTGTAATATACAAAAATTGAAGGTGATTAGTCTGCTAAAAAAAAAGAAACTGAAACATAATAGCAAAAAATGTAGCTAAACTTTAAATAGCATTTAGGTTATCTTTATAATGTGTGTATCAAATATTGGTTAATTTTTATAGTACCGGTACATTCTTAATGTAAGGTTACATTATAATCATATGCTAATTTTTTATTAATGTAAAAGTTATATACAATTTCGTAAATTATAATGTAATTTACATGTAACATAAATTGTAATACATGTAATGCCAACCCTATTTATAGTATCAAATTTGAAGTTTTGCGCAAATTTTCATTTGATTTATTATTTAATTTTTTTGCAAATCTGTGCAGAACTGCAATAAAAAAAATTTCCTGATAATGTTGAAGTTGTCATGTGGTGGTGCCTTTATTTATATATTAAAGTTATTATTTGGAGTTATTGTATGGTAGAATTGTCATCATCATATGGGTGTGCCAAGTGAAAACCAGGAATTCTAAAAACAGATTTCTTTAGACAATAAAATATGAACTATAAATAATACTAATACATGATCAAAAAAACAGTATAATTTATTATTCTAGTCAGGTCAGTTAAAAGCCCGCATTCCATTATGTAAAGAAGTCTATTTTTAGAATTCCTAGTTTTCACTTGGCGGCATCTATATATTAGTATTTTCATTATTGTCAGTGCAGCATTAATTTTGTATTGCTATTTTTGACACATTGCTGATCTCATTAAATAGGTATCACTTTTTTTCTGTTTTTTTCTTTTTGTTTTGTTCTTTATTAACTCTTGCTTACCTTCCTTTTAGTCATTGATTTATCACTGGATTTCATGTTATTTTAGTGTCATCATTTTAGTGCCATTACTACCAAAGTCATATTGTTATAGTGCCTGCTATTGTTTTGATACTTTGTGGATAGGGTGATTTGTTATATAAATTATGGCTTATACACTTAATACGAATTATAGTCCATCCAAAAGCATAGATCGTGTATAGGATTCTTTGGCAATTTGTTATATTAATATTTAGTTAGTTAGATTTAGAGTTAGATTTAGTTTTGATTTAAGGTTAGAGTTAGAGGTTCTATTAGATTTAGGATAGCTATTTATTATGGGATAACTTTTGTTAAACTGATTATATTCATCACATAATGATGTTTTGGAATATTTATTAAACAATGAATTTATTTTTAATAACTAGAGAATGTGAAATTAGGGCGGCTTTGCCGCCTGTAATTTTAATTTTATTATTCATATGAATATAAGATAGCTTAGTTACACATGATATAAGAATCAATGATTTAAATAGAGTACTGGTATAAAAGGAAAAATTTTTTTTTTTTTATTAATTTAATAAATAAATGATATACATATTTAGTTAAAATATAAAATAAATGATATACATATTTAGTTAAAGTATAATGAAAGGAGAATTTTATTATTTTTATGAATGGTAAAAAGTTGTTTTATATTTTTAGGTTAATTATTTTGGATATGTTTGGTTTTGGTTAGTAGAGTTTGTTATGTTGGTCTGTTTAGTGATAATGGTTCATGAGCTTTAAGTTCTAGTCGTTCATATTCTTTAATCATAGATTGGTTTGTAATAAAAGCAGTGTTGCTTAGTGATTGTATTTTTAAATGGTCCTAGTTGGTACAACAGCTTAGTGCTACATATGCTTGGCCAGGTGCAAATATTTGGTCATCTAGATTTAGTAATACATCGAGAAGTATAAGTCCTTGTGTTTTGTGAACTGTTAATGCAAATGCATTTTGTATTGGGAATTGGGTTCGACTAGCAGTTATACCGTTTATATTGAAGTTGCTTGTAAATTTAGAGAACGAAACATTTACAATTGCTTCTTCAATGCAGAAGCTTACATAGACAAGGTTTAGTTGAGGATCGAGGTTTGTGATGATGCCTATGATATCATTTGCTATTTGGTGTTGGTATTGTGAATTGGTGAGAAACATAACTCATACACCAGGTTGAATTCTAATTGTTTCTGGTAGGTTAGTTTTGTTTTTAAATTTATGTAATATTGATTTGTCATTGCATATTCAGTTGTTATAAATATTGATACTGTTGGAGATCATGAATTTGTTTTCTTGGGTGAGGATCAAGGTGTACATTAATCTGTTAATATTAAGTTTGCATTTTTTTTGTAGCCTACTATGTGTGTGGTATTAAGAGTAGTGTTTAATTGGAATGATGTGATTGTTTCATGATTTTTATGAGATAGCATTTGCCATGTTGTATTATTAATTTCACCTATTTTTATTTTTTGTAATAGGTTATAGAATTGGGTGTCTTGGTTTTGTCTTTGGGGCTCGCAAAGAAATAATAAGTAAAAAATTTTCCATATTGAAGATTGATAGATGGTAGAGCCAGTAACTGAAGATAATTGGGCTAGATCACTGACTAAAATAACGTTGATACCTCTGAATAGGATATTGTTTTTATGTAGTGATTCAAAAAGTTCAGAAATATATATTAGAAGTTGGCCTGATACTATGGAGATTTCGTCAATAATGAGAGTGTCTATTTGGAGGAGTGAGTTGTTTAGTTCTTGGTTATGGAATGCAAGGGTTCTGAATCTGTATTCATCAGAGATAATTTGCAGGGCAGAGTGTATTGTTGATCCACTAATATTTTGTGTAGCGATTCTAGTTGAAACTAATAGTAAGTAGTTTTTGTTGATTCTTTGAAAATCTTCTAGTAGTATATGTATCATAGGATTTTTCAGTGTCTGCTAGGCCTGTAATAAAGAAAAAGGAATAGTATGAGCTGTTTTGTGGACCTAGATAATTATTTATTATTTGTTGGCAGTGGTATTGGCTTGGTAGTAAGTTTATGATTGAGTTAGTGATAACAATTTGTGATAATATTTTTATGGAATTTAATTGGAGTTTTATTATGTCGAGGATGTCTATTGTTAGAATTGGGTTTAATGATAAGATTATTGTTTTGATGAGGGAGTTGAATTGATCTAAGACATGTGATGTTTGTCTTAGTATAAATTAGTGATTTTGTTTATGAATAAATTGGAATATATTTGAAAAACGGGCCAGGAAATGATCTCGGTAATTTTGGTAACTGCCTAATATTTTGTCTTCAGATCTGAATGGGTATTTTAGCAAAAGCTGTTGATAAAAGTATAGTTTACCATGTTCTATTCGTAGAGATCGTATGCGCGTAAGTATTTGGTTAGTGCATTTGACAACAAAATTTCTGAGATCATCTTGATATATTGTTCTGTTAGATGTGTTTGGACGTGTTGACTTTATTTCATATGTTTCAAAGTAAGTTTTATATAACATATTGTCAAAAATAGAGTCATGTGGTCATGCTAAGTATTTTTCGATTTTATCATTCCAGTAGGGGTCATCTTCAAATGAATTGAGCATATATAGTGGAATAATTGCTTTGGATCAGGTGGATGGAGGATTGGTAGTTAAGTACTGATGAGTTTACTATATGTTTACCAAGTAGTAAAAACATTATTTCCATTGAGCCCATTTGTCGATCATGGATATATTCACAATAGTATATTTGTTCTCATATATTGAATAAATATATAGGTTCTGATTTACTTATGTATTTTGTTATATATTTGGCAAGTCTTTTATTGATTATATACTGGATATTCATATGAGTATTCCATATCATTAATGTAGAAGTATAATATGAAACTATCTATTGGTCTTCTGGTGTTAGGCATTTGTAAGTATATCTGTAATTATTTGGGTTGTAAAATGTGTATTCAGAGATGGAACAAGAAAAACCTTTTTTGCATGTTGATCCTGGCAGGGCTAAACCTTCACACTTAGAGTTGCATATACAGTTGCACCTCCCTAAATGCATGCTCTGGGGACCGGGTATAAATATGCATTTAGAGAAGGTATACATTTATAGAATTAATACAAATACATCTCTCTAAATGCATGTCTTAGAAATCAAATATAAACATGCATTTAGAGAGGGTAGAATATAAATTTAAATAATAAAAATCCGAGTTAGTCTAAAAGTTTTATTATACAGTATAATGAAGTAAAGATAAGATCGTAATTACTGTATCTTAATATAAAAAAAATTGTTATTAAAATAGATCTTTAGGTTTGGTAATTCGAATTTTTAATTCAAATTTTTCTTAAAAAACAAGAATTAATTGTGGAAATTTTAAATAAGCTATCCCTTAAATTGTAACACAGGCAAATTTGCCAGTGTTTTTATTAAAAAGTTTAATTTTTTTAATAAAAACTTATATATTAATTTTAGCTATATATTTTCTAAGTAAAAT